CCCCCTGTTCTCTCGCCACCTGAATTCACCGGAAACCTTAAAATCTGCCATGTCAATGCTCAATCGCTCTCAGCGCATATTGCTGAGTTTCAACATCACTTCCTGCAAAATTTCTTTCATATTATTGCTGTCTCACAATCTTGGTTGAAACCGCTTGTTCCTGACCTGGCAGTTACCTTATGTGACTACACTCTTTTCCGGTGTGACAGGACTGGTCGAGGAGGAGGAGGTGTAGCTGTTTATGTACATTCGTCCATCAATGCATCCGTTGTGGCGACGTCCGACTCCGAAAACCTTTTGCGCCCTGAATACTTGTTCATCGATGCTGGCGTTCCTGGTGAGCCGCGTGTCTTAATCGCAGTGGTCTACCGTCCGCCGCATGCTGGCCACTTCTCAGACTTTGAGGCCTCCTTCTCGCGTCTCTCGCCTGCCTACAAGAACATTATTATTGTTGGTGACTTCAATGCGGATCTACTTACCTCGTCCTTTGACAGCTCACAAATACAATCATTTATCACCAGCAACGATCTGCATCTTGTTCAGTTTTCTGCCACACATCACATTCGCGAGGCTCACACATGGATTGATCTTTGCATGGCTGATCATCCCACCAAAATCATTGCGTCAGGACAGTATCCTGTCCCTTTTTTATCGGCTCATGATCTGATCTGGATCGATTATTTATTGCGTATTCCCAAGGCCACTGTGGAGGCTGTCACTTATCGCGACTTTCGGTCCTTTAACCAAGAGGCCTTCTTAAATCGTCTCGCGGATTACAACTGGCTGTCGTTTCTTGCGGAGCCGACAGTCAATGATTAGGTGTCTGCGCTAGAGCGGTGTCTCACGGGGGCCTTGGATGAATTTGCGCCTGTTCGGTCTTTTGTTCCGCGCTGTAAGCCATCCCCCTGGATGACCGAGGAAATCCGACACTCCATTGCCGTACGTAATAGACTTCACAGAAGGTACATTCGCTCCCGGTCGCACAGCGATTTCAACCTTTCTCGAGCTCAACGTAACAAGACGCAGGCTCTCATTAAGCGTGATAGAGCAAAGTTTAACAGGACTGTGCTGGCATCGGCTCGTGATTCTGGTACCATCTGGAAACAACTTAGGCGTTTAGGCTTCATAGAATCTGCTGCGTACTCACCTCACATCAGCATGACTCTTGATTCTCTGAATCAGTACTTCGCTGACTGCTTCCATACGCACGTTGGAAACACTGATCCATATCTCGTCACCCCCTCGCTGGATGGGTACCAGGATAACAAATTCTACTTTAAATTCGTCGAGCTGCAGGATCTAGTTCGGGTGCTGAGGGGTAAAGGATCCCGCGCCATGGACCCTGATCGACTCCCTCATGATCAGCTGCTCCTAAGTCTGGAGGTAGTCTTTCCATTCCTTCTGGACCTAATAATCCGTTCTCTTGCAACCTCTACATAGCCTGCTCCCTGGAAGCGATCCTGAATACGTCCTATTCCTAAAGGTCGGGGCCGTCCGGAGTCTCCATCTGATTGGCGTCCTATTGCTCTTCTCTGCGCTATGTCAAAGCCTCTGGAGAGAATTGTGAACGAGCAATTGGTTGAATTTCTACGCAGTAGGGGTGGGTTCGGACCGCGTCAGTCTACCTTCCGTGCAGGTCACAGCACTCAGACAGCCCTAAAACGCGTCATTGACGACATTAGATTCGCGGCCGATGCGCGTATGGTAACAATACTGATCCTGTTCGACTTCAGGAAAGCTTTTGATTCCATTTGCCATCGTAGGCTGCTTGAGGTCATGAAATCTGCGGGCTTTTCCTTTTCTGTAACCTCTTGGTTCGCCTCCTACTTACAAGGTAGGTCGCAGGCTGTGATGGTCGTAATAGGGCCATTTCCAACTATCTGCCAGTCACATCGGGCGTGCCGCAAGGCTCCGTGCTTGGTCCTTCTCTTTTCTCACTGTACATTAGAGGACTTCCTGACGTCATTGCAAACTGCGACCATATGCTGTATGCTGATGACCTGCAAATATACCTACATATTAAGCCGTGCGACCTGGCCAGTGCGCTAGTCCTCGTCCAGCGTGACATCGACTCCATTTGCGAATGGGCAGTATCAA